TTGTCTTATAAGTCCAACGGTCTTTCCCACATTCAGGAGAGTTACGGTGTAGAGAAGCCCCAAAAAGGCTTACCACCCAGACCCCTGTGTGCCCAGAGTGGAAGCAACTCAACGCCCCAAGTTTGACTTCAGTGACAATGGAAACCCAATGATATTTCACTGATGATAAACCTGGTGCAACATGTCTCCATTTACATATGATAATGCAAATTATACCACCATCTTCATTCTAACTTCTCATCTTCATTCCATCTTGGTCTGCTACCATGTTTGGCCCACATTCACTATTTTTTTTTACTGCTCAGAAGTTATTATGTGCTAACTATCACGTCTTTGAAGGTGTGCACAACATATGCTGATTACAAACTCTGAGAATCATGTAGGAGGTATAGGCGTGAAATATCTCAATCCATCTGTTTAAACAAAAAAAAAGCAACAACCTGCTATATAATGCTTCATGAACAATCCTGGATCCATAAGAAACTGGCAGAAAGTTGTCAGTTTTACAGTGTATATTTAATACATTAAATACATGAACCGCCTTTAACCTCTCACATGTCCTGACCTGTCACTGAGCTCATGAATATGAAGCTGGGTTTGTGATATTTATTCAAGCTTAATGTTCATCTAATGTTTGTTACACGAGTTGTGCATTACATAACACCCTCCAAATGGCACAGCCTCAGAGACTTCTGGAGATATGAGATCTGCAGTGTTAAAGGGGCAAACATTATTTTATTTTGATTCATATCACTTCTAATCAACACTCACACAAGTCTCAAAGGTGACTGCTGCATTAAACGGGTGGGTGGCGGTATTCAGTTCAATATGGAAGGCCATATGCACCTGCATTACTTGTGTAACCAGACTTTTGACCTTACACATTCACTACTGTAAGTTTAGGATCGGTAAGATTTTGAAATATTTTTAAAAGAAGTCTCTTATGCTCACCAAGGCTGCACTTATTTGATCAAAAAATTCAGAAATAAAATATTATTACCATTTGAGAATGCAATTTATTGCTGTGATGGCAAAGCTGAATTTTCAGCCGCCATTATTCTAGCCTTCAAAATGATCCTTCAGAAGTCATTCTAATATGATGATTTGGTGTGCAAGAAACATTTCTAATCATAATAAATGTTGAAAACCGTAATGCATTTTTTTCAGGATTCTTTGATGAATAGAAGTTCAAAAGAACAGAATTTATTTGAAATACTTCTTTTTAATAACAAATATTGGCCATGGACCATCTGATGCAAATTGAGTGCAACAATGGCAAGAGCTGACTGAAAAAGCCAGGTTCAAGGTATCAGGTTGATAAACCAAACATTCGACCAAGATCTAATGACTGTAATTGGCTGTTTGAAATGCTCAGTTACAAAAAAAGTAAACTCAGTATTTATGACCATACAAATACTGCTGTATGTTCCGAGTAACTTCTGAAACATTATATATGTACTTATTGATATTAGCTGATTAACAGAAAAGTCCATACATATTTTTACACATAATTACCTTACTTTGGTGGGTGGGTGGGGGGTTTAATGACAATCTATTAATCAAAGATCTCATTTTACTTCTAAATAAAAAAGTGACGCTTTAAAAATCTCTCCCAAAGGGATCCCATTGTGTGGAAATGCTAATTTCCTTTCAGGTTCTAGGATTAAAAACTGGACTGTGCTATTATATTGGGGTATCTTCGTGTAATGCAAATATTGTCAGCTCTTATAATAAATTGCTTACACTGTATGCCTCATTTGTAATTTGCTCTGCATAAAAGCATCTTATACTGTGAATAAATAAATGTCAATGGGATGCACTGAAACACCAGTTTGGAATAATTAAAATGTTTAGTGTTTTAGAAAGACAGCTCTTATGCTCACCAAGGCCGCATTTATTTGATCAAAAATAAATTACTGTTCAAAAAACGATTGTGGAATATTAATACAATTTAAAATAACAGTTTTCTATTTGAATAGATTTTAAAATATAACTCATTCCTGTGATACAAAGCTGAATTTTCTCTAGTCTTCTTTGTCACATGATACTTCAGAAATCATTCTAATATGCTGATCTGCTGCTCAAGAAAAGTTGTTACTTAATATTTTTGTGGAAACTGTGATACATTACCATTCAAAGGTTTGCGTTAAGTATGATAAAAAAAACTAAATTAATACTTTTATTCAGCAAGGATACAATAAATTAGAAAAAGTGACAGTAAAGACATTTATAATATTATTTTAAAAAGTACATTCTGTTCTTTTGAGCTTTCTATTCATCAAAGAATCCTGTTTTCACAAAAATATTAAGCAGTAAAAATAGTTTTCAACATTGATAAGAACCATTAGTACATTCTAATAATATTTCCCAAATTACAGTTTTTAATGCATTTTTGATAAAATAAATGCAGCCTTTGAACTTCCTTCAAAAAAAAAAAAAAACCCAGGACACCCAGCGCTACCACTTCCTGAAAGTACGCAGATGTCAACCAATCAGATTGTAACTGCAGATTTCAGCCAGCTCTTGCCAAAAACCAGATCTCCACCTGCAAACTCCCGTATGTTCACGAGCGAGAACACGGTCATACGGAACACAATGACTCCCGACTTGACCTTCTGTTCAGGTTGTGTAAAAAACAGAGGACAGTATTCTGTTAATGGCACAGCGTCTTAATGTTCTGTTCCTTCAGACATGTTCAGTGACTACTCAAAGCCAACAATCAAACCATTATCCCTCCATCTGCAGATAAGAGACAAACAGAGCAAGACACACACAGGTGGAGAGAGAGAAAACGTGGGTTGAGCTGTCAGTCACTGATTAGCTACTGGATGGGAACCAGGAGGAAATAAGGATAGAGAGACGGAGGGAGAGAGAGAGAGAGAGAGAGAGAGAGAGAGAGAGAGAGAGAGAGAGAGAGAGAG